TGTCGCGATCGACAAGTTCACTAAGTGGCCCGAGGCTTATCCGGTCGTCAAGATCGATAAGCACTCCGCACTTAAATTCATTAAGGGCATCACAGCCCGGTTTGGAGTGCCTAACCGTATTATTACGGATAACGGCACCCAATTCACTAGTGAACTTTTCGGCGATTACTGCGAAGACATGGGCATCAAGCTCTGCTTCGCCTCACCTGCCCACCCCAGAAGCAACGGCCAAGTAGAGCGCGCCAATGCGGAAATCCTCAGAGGCCTTAAAACCAAGACCTTCAACATCCTCAAGAAGCACGGCGATTCGTGGATCGAGGAGTTGCCAGCGGTGCTCTGGGCGAACCGAACCACGCCAAGCCGAGCAACCAGGGAAACGCCTTTCTTCCTCGTCTACGGCGCGGAAGCGGTTCTCCCATCCGAGCTCACCCTGAGGTCCCCTCGGGCCACCATGTACTGCGAGGCTGATCAAGATCAGCTTCGCAGAGATGACCTCGACTACTTGGAAGAGCGAAGGCGGCGCGCGGCCCTCCGAGCTGCGCGCTACCAGCAGAGCCTGCGGCGCTACCATCAGCGCCACGTCTGGGCCCGATCACTCTGCGTCGACGACCTCGTCCTACGCCGCGTCCAAACGCGTGCTGGATTGAGCAAGCTCTCACCAATGTGGGAGGGTCCGTATCGAGTGATCGGCGTCCCCCGGCCGGGCTCCGTTCGGCTGGCCACGGGCGACGGCACAGAGCTGCCTAACCCGTGGAATATCGAACACCTTCGTCGCTTCTACCCCTAAAGGGGGATCGGGTGTCAGGTTTCGGGCTCGGGCCAACCCCGCACCCCCCTCGGGCGTGCAGGGTTGGCCGGGGGCTACCACATATGCATATTCTTATTTCTCTTATATCTGTATTTCAATAAAAGCATTTTCGATTTCCTAAAGGCTATATCTGTGCTGTTGTTTCCTTTTGAAGGATCTTGACTTGAAATAGGTCATTGATTGAGAAGTGAAGGTACGTGAGAAAATTAAATGACGGAGGATTGTAATTGGTTGATAAGAGAATGTTGGTGAATAAGTTGTTACATTTTGGAACAAACATTGAGACCTAGAAGTAGTTATATTTTGGGACGGAGGGAGCAGTGTATGGTTAGGTGTAGGAAAATGGTAGGGAGTAGAGTTAATAGGGAGAAATACAAATGAGAGGTGATTCATTGGATACATATGGAAAGATAATTAGTACTTCCTCCATCCCAAAATATAAAAATCTAGGACTGAATAGGATATTTTCTAGTACTGCGAATCTGTATAGGCTCGTCCCAACCAGTCAAAGGTTCTAGGACATTTTGTGACGGAGAGAGTAATATTTTGAGACAGGTGATCTAGGACATTAGGCTCGAGCCCCAATTGGCCAATTGCTCCAACCATGCATGCATCTTCCCCTGTGCATGGGGTCCAGCACTCCACCCCTGTACTGCCAGACATAGACAAGCACTTATTTGAATCTAGGAAAAAAAAACCCATTGACATATAGGAGTACACTCTCAAATTTTATCAGATGATGCCCACATAATACTACACATTTTGCTTTCTTTGCCACCTTTATATTATTCAAATAAATTATATAAATATTATTTATTTTGTTCTGACTTTATTAAAGATACTTACGTTGGGCATGTTATATACTTTTATGTGCTTTGACTAAACCATTAAATAAAACAAATAATCAAACGCACATCTATAGCTCTTTTATATATTAAAAAATAAAGAGGGTTTATTTTGCCATTGTTCTCTCATCACTTCTACACATATTCCTTATCACCTCATTACCTCATCTATAAAGATTTTAGTTTTCGGTGAGGTATGGCCACTGCGTCTCTCCTCTAGCACGCAGTCACGGTACTTGCTGAGAGGCAAGTACCGTTCATGTGCTTTTATGTTCATGTGCTTGCTGGCCGTTTGATGAACCTATGCGTGTTTCTAGCCGTCCAACATATGGATAGAGATCGCTTCTGGTCGTGCATAGATATTCACGGTTCCACTGTTTAGGTTCCAGTAGTCAGCCGTCAGATCTCTTCCCTATTTATCGTATCCATCCACCTACCCCTCCAAAGCACATCTTAATTCTTGACAAGGAATTTTGTTGGCACATCTTTAATTCTTGATAAGAATACTTTTTGGGTCATCCAGTCTGTTTGGTGCACAGGTGGCATGAGAACCTCATTTTTTTCTCTCATGCTTATACTTATAAGCCAAAATTTAAATTTTAAAAAGTTATTTTAGAGTTTATTTTACAATATTTATTTTTAAATCGCTAAGAACACATATATAAACGTTTTAGCCACAAATTATTTTTTTGTTGCTAATAAATCAGATGGATAAGCATACACATAAATAAAACAATGGGCTCTATGTCCTGAAAGTTTGTAGAAAGGTCCTTTTGAACAAAACAGCGGCGAATTGAGAAATGATTTATACATGAAAATTCATTTAGTTTATTTTAAAACGGATGGTTGATTAATTCATTACCATTCTGACGCAACATACCTCATGTTCGAAATATAATACCAAAAAATATGACCATGATGATTTGGAGCATTTGAAATCTTATGGGCAAAGTGACACGCCATGTGGATAATATCATATAAAAAGTCGTTTATAAGTAGAAAGGCTATTATACTTTTAAATATATTTTTTCAATATAAATTTGTGCATTTTAAGCGTATGTATTTTCCGCGGCAAAGCGCAGAGGTGTCGTCTAGTTTTGATTGTTTGTGTTTACCAGCTATAAACAAGGTCCCAGGTAACGCCATCTCAATGGATGCTCACTTTTGATGAGGTACGCGCATATGCAGTCTCATCACTAACCATCAATCTCGTTTCACTGCTTTTACTAATTTCACAATTGTCCTCTATGCTGTCCAGCACAAATAAAGGTCTGGCCTGTTCGTATCTATTTGCTGAGGATTCGCGGGCTGTATCACCAAGCCATGGCAATTCACAACAGTGCTTTCTGCCTTGCTGGGCGGATCCAGGAGTAACTAATAGGAGGGGTTAAACAAATTATACAAAACTAAAGTCTCATCTTCTAATCGATGTACAGTACGGTAAGTGGAGACTTCATGGAGGCTCTAACGGTTGCAACACCGGTAATGGAGGCTCAAGACCCCATAGCCCCTATGATAGATCCGCCATTGAGTTGCACTACTACGTAAAAGATTTTTCAAAACGAGCAAAATTGTCTTTTCAAACAGACAAAACAACCACTTGACACTAGATATATATAGAAATACCAACTATCATGAATGGGCACCGTAGCCGAATGCAAAACTTTATTTTCCTAGGTAGGCATGTTAAGCTGTCAGCTTGCAAAAGAATTTTGGCCAAAAAAATAAAAAAATAAAACAAAACCCTAGCTAGGTCTGCTTCACCTCGCCGCTGCTACACAAAAGCTGTCACGGCTGTCCGAAGCCCGTTGCCACCCGAAGCCTGCCGCCATCCGTAGCCAGTGGATCTGCTCGTCTCGGGGCTGATTCCATTGGATCCGAACATTGTGAGGCTGTCAGCGGCGGCGGTGGTGGTGGAGGAGCAGAGGGAGAGGATGTCGTGAGGCCACCGGAGATGGATGAGCCGAGGGAGCCTCCGCCGGATAACCAGCTGTCATGAGTCGCTGGTGAGGGAGGAGAACAAGTCAAGGGAGCTAGCGACGGATCCAACCGTCGCAAGGCCATCGGCTTTCGGATCCAACTGTCACGAAGTCATCAACGGCGGAGGAGGAGCCGAGGGAGCATACGCGACAAGCCTGTTGGTGAAGGTGGAGGAGAAACCGAGGGTTCCCCTATTGGATCCGACCGTCATGAGACCACCGGTGCCGGCCGTCCTGAGGCTGCTAGTGGTGGAGGAGGAGCCATACATGTCTTAGGTTATTATTAGGCCATTCATAATGCACCTATATGGCATTCAGCCAATCGTAGATTCCCCGCCAACTCAGCTTGTAGCGTGACCAAACGAAGTTCGGGTAGCCCAGTTTGGGCACGCGTTTTTCGTCAGAAAAGAAGCCGTTTTCTGACGTGCGAAGCAGGGGAGGATGGAGCAGGCGCACTGTGAGGTTGTGGCCTCGGGCTCGTGGCCCAGTGGTGACGCCTCCACCCCTACCTGGCATCGGAAAAGCTCATCGAACTGCCTCCGTCGATCTGCGTCGGAAAGGGACGTTGCGCCGTCGCCGGAAGGGAGAGGCCGCCACGGGAGCCGGAAAGGAGAGGGGAGAGGCCACCGCGGGCACCGGAGGAGAGAGGGGAGCGACCGTCGCGGGAGCCGGAGGGGAGAGAGGAGCCATCGCCGAGCTTCTTCGATCCTCCACCGAGCTGGGTCTGGCCGCTTGGAGAGTAGAAGGGGGCGGCTGCCCCGGAGGAGCTCGCCGTTGATTCGGAGCCATTCCGCCGTCCGATGCCGTCGCCCCTTGGGACGCCCTGCCGCCCAGTGCAGTCGCCCCTCAGGACGCCCCGCCGCTCAGCACCGTCGGTGCTCGTGGCGGCCCCCCGCTTGGCACCGTTGCTGCCCGACACCGCCGCTCCGCTCGGTCTCGGTTTCTTCGCTGATGTGAAACGATGAGATTGATAAGTGAGAGGAAGGAGAGAGAGGAAGGCAGATGAAAAGTGAGGGGAGGACACCGGTGGGACCTATAATAAAGTAAGATGCACTGTGGAGCAAGTGGCTACTATAGTTCTTCTTAGGTGTGTTTGGATCTAGGTGGTATGTGAGGCACAGTAAATTTATGTGACGCGCCTTATTATTAGCTTGTTAATTTGTCAGTACCTCGGTGCATTTCGCTTCTAAACTCTTCTTTTGACACTGAGCCGACGTGGCAACCTAAAAAGAAAACATACTACTCCTACGTGGCCGTGTCCACGGCCATGTATTGAAACGAGCTACCGAGAAAAGTGAAAGCGGGTCACCCGTGGCCTTGGGCCCACCAAAAACGGCCCAAACACCGAGCAAAGCCCGTCTGTCCCGTGGCCGGCCTCCTCCCTCCTCCGTCCGCGCTCGCTCGTTCGCTTCTTGGTCCGCAAGCCCTCCACGCCGCCTCCTCTCCTAGCGATGGCGTCAAGGGATCTCCGGCGGCTGCTCGACGGCGCGGCCCTCGTCGCCCGCGAGGCCGCCAGGCGCGCCTCGGCCCCCGACGTCCTCAGGTCCGCGCTCCTCGCCGCCACCGACCTCGCCGGGCTCACCAGGGGCACCCCGCGCACCCCGAGGCCCACCCCTCCCCTTGGACCCCACCCCACCGCCGCCGCCGCCGGCGGCGAGGCTCGTGCCTCCGTCGTGTACTTCTCCCACGACGATGCCGGTCCCGTCTCTCCGCCGCGGCGGCCGCCGCAGGATCCCCCGCTGGAGCAGCGGCCGCCTGCGCGTGAATCCCCCCACCCGGCCCAGGCGAAGGAGATCACCGAAGCCGGCGTAGCCGCGGCCGTGGGCGCAGCTGAGCCTGAACCTGTGGCGGTGGCCAGACCACCCGATGGCGAAGCTGCTGGCCGCTCACCTGCACCCTCGCCATCGCCCTCGCCGGTGGTGCGGGTGGAGAAGAGGCGGCGGCCGCGGGAGCGGAGGGTTCCCTCCACCCCATTCACCAGAGCCCTCGGGTCAGTATGCCACACCATGCATCGATTTGAACAGGGAGAAATGCGCATTCGTTTGTTTGTGAAATTACGAATCGAACAGTGCGTGAATCGTGTTGTTTTTTTTGCAAAATTTGTGCTGGCAAAATTAAGGTTCGCAGGTCTGGGTGCTGGCCTCGCATGGGGAACGCTACAGGAATCAGCTCGGCGGGTGGTGTATGGGAGACCAGCGGACGCAGATGGCAAGCGTTCTGCTATGTCCCCGTTCTTATCAGATCAGAATGCTGAGCGTATCGCCCTGGCGCTGTGCCGGATGCGGGGTGCAGCGCTCAAGGTGGGACAGATGCTGAGCATCCAGGACGAATCCCTTGTGCCTCCACCGGTAGTATCTCCAATCTGATGCTGCAAGATTTGACTTCAGTTTTCTGTCTGTCATCGAATCTGGTGATCAACCATTTCACATTCTGTGGTTATGAACCATTCATGTTGATGTTGGCTGTGATAATGTAGGTCTTGGCAGCTCTTGATATTGTTCGCCAAGGTGCTGATGTTATGCCGAGGAAGCAGCTCAATTCAGTTCTTGATGCTGAGCTAGGTCAGGACTGGTCCTCCAAGTTAACGAGTTTTGACTATGAGCCACTAGCTGCTGCAAGTATTGGACAGGTTTGTTTAGCAGAGTCATCTTTCTATTATTTTGATGAAACTATACCAAATTGACCTTACCACTTAACTAAGGAAGAGGGGCAAATCCAAGATTTCATTGTGTTGGATACTTGGTTGATGCAGAAAATTTTAAATTTGATTGGTAATGATTATTTGAGAAGTTAGAAAACAAATATAGATAATTTTGATAACTTTACTATAGTACATCTTCAAGGTTTCATATCTTGACTATGACCTATTTGCTATTTAATTTTTGATGGGCAAAAATACAAACTGTTCTAAGATAGGAATGTTATCTATTGAAAGGAGCTTTCTTTTCATCCTGAATATATTGTTGGTAACCTCATGCTCTAATATAGCTCCACCAAAGCCAATGAGAAACTGTTTGCTTATCTGTTTCTTTTTCCTTTTAATCAGGTCCACCGGGCGGTCTTAAAGGATGGTTCAGATGTTGTCATGAAAATACAATACCCTGGGGTCGCAGATAGTATAGAAAGTGATATTGAGAATGTCAGGCTACTTCTGTCTTACACCAATCTCATCCCTAAAGGTCTTTTCCTTGATAGAGCCATGAAGGTAAATTTTCTTTGGGCTGCAGCTTGAAAAACAGTTTTATCTTCTCTTTGCACTTGACAGGTGACACATTGTACATCTATGAGTTGCGGGTATTGCTTCTTATTAACACTGTCTGTCGAAATTTAGTTTAACTGTTTGTTTTTGCAAGTAGTTGAGATAATAGTGTGCTACTGCTACTCTGTTCATGCCTATACTTTATGTGAAAATAAATTGAGTCCATCGTTATTTAATACTCAGTTTAAATGGCATTTTACCACAATCTGTGTCCATGATACGGCAGAATCTTAGAACTTGTATTTATTCACTCATTGGTTTTATGTACATGTCATATGTTTCTTAAGGCCTAAATGCACCTGCACCATCATAGTGCTTTTGTGATAAACAGAATGTAGAAAATTCATTTTTATTATTATACAGGTGGCAAAGCTTGAGCTGGCAAGGGAATGTGATTATGTGTTAGAAGCAACTAACCAAAAACGGTACAAAGAGTTGCTATCTGATAGTGAAGGCTATTATGTCCCTAAGGTCATTGATGAGTTGTCTAGCAAAAAAGTGTTAATGTCAGAGTTTGTTCCAGGTATTTTCAGTTGATCATGGAGTGGCTTAATGGATTTTCTTTATAATTTTTCATTATAGTGTTGTAAGTTCATCATGCCCCGTAAAAGAAGTTCATCGTGCATAGTGACAGTTTTTTGAGGCATTTCGTTTTGAAAAAAAATCAACATGGATTTATAAAATGTGGACACATGGAATGTCCAAATTGGGACAACGATAGGGCATTTCACTTTTCATATGCTCCACACTTAGTCCAATGGAGCGAAAGTTAAACAGTATAGCATAGCGTAGTAAGGAACTAAGAGGCGCAATAAACATGAACTGAATTCTGATATGTTTACCTTCATGATCTCACAATCATATCAAATATGTTTAGATACTTTTCTTTTTTGCGAGGAGCTAATTAATTTTTATGGACATAAGAATAATGGCTTATTTCTCTTGATAGCCTCATTTGTTTGGTTCTATACAGGATTTCCAATTGACAAGGTGGCTATGTTAGACCAGGAAACCCGTAACTATGTTGGCTGTAAATTGCTTGAGCTTACAATAAAGGAGTTGTTTGTCTTCCGATTTATGCAGGCATGTTTCTTCTATACTTTCTGCAAAATTCCTAAATAATGGGTTGAACTCTGCATCCATGTTAATTTATCATAATCTAATCATTTTGGGTATACATGACTACTGCTACGTAAACTGCTACTTTAGTGTTGGGCAATACAAACAGATATTTATTGAGCCATTCAACTGTCAGTTTTATATCAATGATCAATATTTTGTATGGCTGTCATTTAATTTTTCGAACAGTATGTATCAATGTATGTTTCTGATTTGCTACTCATTGTGAACTTGTGATGACAAATTTCCTTCGATTTAATTCAAGGCTTCAATAATAAATCTGGAATTTAGTAATGCGTTATAGATACCAGGAAATTTGTTAGTACTCTGCAGTAACTTCTCTTTCTGCAGACTGATCCAAATTGGAGCAACTTCCTTTTCGATGAACCTACAAGGAAGTTCAATCTGATTGACTTTGGCGCAGCTCGTGATTTTCCAAAACGTTTTGTGGACGACTACCTTCGTATGGTAAGCAATCAAATTGTTTATTATTAATAATCACCTCCTTTAGAAACATTTAGAGTTTTCTGTTTAATGTTTTGAAGATGGTTGTCTGAGTCTGATTTGTGATATTATCGAGCAGGTAGTTGCCTGTGCGAACAAGGATAGAGCTGGTGTCTTAGAAATGTCCCGCAGACTAGGATTTCTCACAGGTGAGGAACCGGAAGTCATGCTGGATGCTCATGTCCAAGCTGCCTTCATTGTTGGTGTGCCATTCGCAAAACCAGGTGGTCACGATTTCCGTGCAAACAACATCACACATAGTGTTTCCAACCTCGGAGCTACCATGTTGAAGCACAGGCTGACGCCACCACCCGACGAAGTTTACAGCCTCCACAGAAAGTTGTCAGGTGCATTCCTAGCCTGCATCAAGATAGGGGCAGTTGTACCCTGTAGGGAGATGCTGTTCAAGGTTTATGAGCAATACAATTTCAGCGATGATCGTCCGGAAGTATTGTCCAGCACCGGATAGAAATATGAAAGGCCAACCTTTTGCCCACTTCCCTTTTGGGGAACTTTAAATAGTTACAGGTCGGTTGCAGCTCATTTTTTCGAGAGCCACACAATCGGCTGCTCCATTTGTTGTTAGGCTGAAAGAATGCTCTGACAAATTGTATTATTGATAGCTTGAAAAGTGAGGATATTCTGTTTAGGGATGAGCTCTACAAAAACTGTATAATGCTCTTATACTTAAGATGATGAAAGTTACTCTGCATATTTTTGAGCACAAGAAAATAAATGCATCAGAATGATGTTTCTGTATAATGCTCGTATATCTGTCTCTGGGGTTTATACTTCAGATGATGAAAGTTCCTCAACATATTTTTCAGTCCAAGAGATAAAGGCATCGAAATGATGTTTCTGTTGAATTTTCTAAGGAAAGTCTTTAGCAAGTATCCTCTACGTGGTTTAAGCCAACACCAGTAAAGTTAGGTTGAACATTGTCGATTAGCGATATTTAAGAAGAAATGGATCTCTCGTTGAGTAAAGTATCTCCTCGTAACAAGTTAGGTTTAAGAAGAAATGGATCTCCCGTTAATTACAGTAAAGTATCACCTTAGAACACATGTTAATTACAGTAAAGTATCTTCTTAAAACACAAGTTGTGGCTGTAGTTTAGTGGTGAGAATTCCACGTTGTGGCCGTGGAGACCTGGGCTCGAATCCCAGCAGCCACATTATTCTTTTTTGTTTTTACCTCTAATAAAAACACACTTATAATCATTTTTTGTTTTTACCTCTAATAAAAACACACTTATAATCATTTTTTTGTTTTACGTTTTATCTCTAATAAAAACACGCTTATATTTGTATTAAAATCATTTTTTTTACCTCTAATTCTTTTTTGTTTTTACCTCTAATAAAAACACACTTATAATCATTTTTTGTTTTTACCTCTAATAAAAACACACTTATAATCATTTTTTTGTTTTACGTTTTATCTCTAATAAAAACACGCTTATATTTGTATTAAAATCATTTTTTTTACCTCTAATAAAAACACTAGTTATATTATTTGTATTCAAATCATTTTTTTTTACCTCTAATAAAAACCCACTTATATTTGTGTTCAAATCAATTTTTTGTTTTACCTCTAATAAAAACATCATTTTTTTGTTTTACCTCTAATAAAAACACTACTTATATTATTTGTATTCAAATTTTTTTTTGTTTTACCTATAATAAAAACACTAATAAAAACACACTTATATTTGTTTTCAAATCATTTTTTTTGTTTTACCTCTAATAAAAACACTACTTATATTTGTAATCAAATCTTACCAGTGCAAACCCTCTTAATTCTTTTAATCTTACCCGTGCAAAGTCTTTTATTAAATTTGTGCAAACCAAATTTCTTTATTAAATCTGTGCAAACCAAATTTCTTTTATCGTACTTATATTTGTAATCAAATCTTACCAGTGCAAACCCTCTTAATCCTCTTAATCTTACCCGTATCTCTATCACTCACCTCTGTAAACACTTATTTTTTACCTCTAATAAAAACACTACTTATATTTGTAATCAAATCTTACCGGTGCAAACCTTCTTAATCTTACCTGTGCAATGTCTTTTATTAAATCTGTGCAAACCAAATTTCTATTATCCTGTAAACACTTATTTTTATCAAATCTTACGTGCGCAAACCAAAAGCCTTATCAATGCAAACATTTGTGCATTTCTTTTACCATATTTCTATCATGTGAAATTCTTTTGTCCAAAATATAATATGGATGCATATGACATGTTCCATTTTATTAAATGATATCAATGGTGTATAATTTCATAAATTGGATATAGCAATAAATTAAAATAAATTGAATTGGTGGTACATAAAAGAATTTCAGAAGTGTACAATTTAGTATAGGCAAATTTTGCTACAGGACATCGCAATTATGTGGTTTTAGCTTAGGGACACCATGAAAGTGAAGTTTTGGGGGAAGATATCATATTTGCCGATGACACCGCGCCGTTTAAAGGATACTTGTTGTGCTGATGTGGCGGACGGGAGTCTGTTTTTTGACGCAGTTGGACGTAAATACCCCTTGCCACGTCAGAAAAAAAAAAGGTCTCCCGTCAGGCCACTCCCCACCGCTGCCAGCTACCTCTTTCCCCTCTCCCCCGCCGCGCCAAGCCGTCGCCATGCTCGGTCGCTGCCACCGCGCGCGGCTACATCTCCTGCGCGAGCACCACCCGCGCGCCACTGCCACTTCGCCACCACGATTGTCAGCACCTCCGGCCTCCATCTCCGCCCGGACGAATTGCCACTGCGACCGCCGCCGTCTTCGTCTTGCTGCGAGCGCCCGCGCGCCACTGCCACCACCACGCTGCGAGCGCCGCCCCGCGCGTGGCCAAGCTGGCCCGCCCGGGCGCCGCCTCCGCGACCACCTAACGCCTCCACTCCCGCCTCCTCTGCCCGGCGCTGCCCCGGCACCTCCTCGCTGCTCCGGCCTTTTCTCCCCATCCACCCGATGCCTGCCGGCGGAAGTGGAGCTGCTGTCTCGGGCGGTAGCCGAGTGGTGGAGCGAAGACGATGGCTGCATCTGGCTCGCGCTGCCGCCGTTGCCTGCCATTTCTCTTGCTTCCACCATCGAGGTAACCGCACGCACAAAAGTGATCGATCTAGTACAAACAATGATGAGTGATGTACAATAATCTGTGAGTTAATTAATTAACCAAGCTTAGCTTGATTGATGCAGGAAATCAAAGAGAGAGGTCGGGATGCTGAGCCTAATGTGCAATTAACACCAGTAGCAGCTCGCACTGGTACAAGCTCGCCTACGCCGAGGCCAAAGGGCGCGTCCGCCGCGGCCACCGCGTTTGGCAGATCGGCTTCGGCTTAGGCTTCAGGTGCAACATCACCGTCTGGCGTGCACTCCGCGACGTGCCACCCGTGTACGCCTTCGTCACGGCGGCGTGGCCCATGGCCTTGCTCGGCGGCTCGTTCGCCGCCGGCGTCGCCCGACGCTATCGCCGTCCGCCACGCTGCCTCCCCATCCACCCGATGCCGCCGGGCCGCCTTCAGGCCGCCACCGTCGCCTCGGCCCGCGTCGTTGCGGCCGGTTGCTGGCCGCGCCGTCGCGCACCTGCCGCATCCCGCTCGGGAGCGCACGCGCGTGAGGAGAAAGGGAAACGAGAGGGAGAGAGATGAGGAGGAGAGATCGAGAGGAGAAGAAATCGAGAGAGAAGAAAAAGAAGAGGAGGGGGACACTGTCAAGTGGTCCCACATAACCTTATTATCTCTTGCGCAGGGGTATTTACGTCCGACGCGCGTCAAAAAAGGCCTCCCGTGCGCCATGTCAGCATGGCAGATGGCGTGGTATCCATCGGCAAATATCCACGATTATGGGATGTCTTCCCCCAAAACTTCACTTTCGTGGTGTCCCTGAGCTAAAAACCACACAATTGCGATGTCCTGTAGCAAAATTTGCCTTTAGTATATTATCTTGTAAATACTCAGTTTAGTTCATGAACGTCTCTAATAATATGTGCTGATAAATTCATAAGGTATGGCTAATCTTACCCAAATTGATGCTGATTAGAACATGACCTAGGCTTATGAGAGGGCACGAAAACATGCTATATTTCAAAATGACGATGTACTTGGTTTCTACTTGATTGTTGCTATCGGATTTTTATTTATCTTTCTATGTATATAATCATCATTCCTTACTATACTTTTTATCAAAAGGTTTTACGTCTACGTGACATCTTACTTGAGTGTGTAGCAATCTTAATCAACACTTAAAATCAGAAAGATTACCCATGTTGTGTTTTTTTTTATCTTGATTCACACACAAAGATTTGTGCACTAAAATAAGCTTTTTACAACTTCAAACATTAAATTGTACCCATCAAACAAATTTTATCTTGGTCCACACACATCGATAAATTCGTGCACTAAAATGAGCTTTTTACAAGTTCAAGGTTTAGATTTACTTAATAAATAAATTCATGTATCAATACAATTTACTTAATAGCAAAATTTCTTCTATCTAAAATAAAGGAATGTACCTTTTCTCAATCGATAAAATAAATCCAAATCCTAATAGCAGATGAATAATTATAATTTTTTTGTGTGCACAAGATTGGAATAACTTTAAAATAATTGACACATTATTTTATTTATCCTAGAATGAGGTAGAATCTTTTTTTTATTTATGGTTAAAGAAGAAAACTGATCTTGAATTTTAAGTATTTAGTTTCATTGCTAAGATATGGAGATTTTCTTCTTGTTTTCATATTTCATTTTGAGATAAGCTTACCTTTATTTATAGTTCGAAAAAAAAACTTACATATGTGCAAGCCTTGTGCTTTTTTTTCTTATTTTTATATTTACTGTAAAAAAATGTCCGTTCGTTGCAACGGGTGAATGCTATTTTAATTTTATTATTCTTATATGGTTTAGCTAGGATGGAATTCACTGTGGGAATTTGCTTATAGTGTTTTTAAAATAATTAGCTGTAATTAGGAGTTCAACTTTCATCTCAAGTTAGCATGCAAGTTTTTCTAAAGAAATTTCTTATACGACTTCTTTTGTATTTTCCGAAAGCAAACGAACTTAAATCTGACTCATACACGGATCTATATTTCCAAAGAATGAACTTAAAAACCAATCTAAATACAGATGACATACCAAAATATCGGTAAAAACATCTTCAATTTTTATAATAGTAGAGATACGGTTTAATTAGTTAAGGTGAAATTTACTGTAGGAATTTGCTTGGATATATATATATATATATATATATATATATATATATATATATATATATATACATACACGTCTTTAATCTATTATATTATTAAAGGAATAGAAAAAGGAGCCTCCACGTTCGCTCTCATGGCCTAGAAATTCTCACATTAATCGGAGAAAAAGAAAAAGCAGAGTCCATATAGAAATACAATTTAGAAAAAATCGGAATTAAAAATAAGGAATATTAGAAGAGGAGACTAGAGTCCATATAAAAATACAATTAGGAAATAGTTGAAATTCGGAATTAAAAAATAAGGAATATTAGAAGAGGAGACCAGAGTCCATATAGAAATACAATTAGGAAATAACTGAAATTCGGAATTAAAAAATAAGGAATATTAGAAGAGGAGACTAGAGTCCATATAGAAATACAATTATGAAATAACTGAAATTCGGAATTAAAAATAAGGAATATTAGAAGTAGAGTATAGAGTCCATCTAGAAATACAATTAGGAAATAACATAAATTCGGAATTAAAAATAAGGAATATTAGAAGTAGAGTATAGAGCCCATATAGAAATACAATTAAGAAAAAAAAAGAAATTTGGAATTAAAAAATAAGGAATATTAGAACCAGAGTATAGAGTCCATATAGGAATTTTAAACTAACTAAAATTTGGAATAAACATAATAAAATTAAAAGTAAAGTTTAGAGTCCGTATAAAAATACAGTTTACAAATAATTAAATTCAAAATTAAGAAAAACATGGAAAGAAGAGTTTAAGGTCAATATAAGAATACAATTTAGAAGTAATTGAAATTCAAAACTAAAAATTAAAGAATATTGAAAGATGAGTTTAGAGTCCACATAGAAATACAATTAGAAATAATAAAAACTCAGAAATAAAAATAAATAATATTGGAAGAAGAGCATAGAGTCTATATAGAAATACAATTTACAGAAAATTCAGAATTTAAAAAATATATTAAAAGACGAGTCTAAAATCCATATAGGAATATATATAATTTACAAATAACTAAAATTTGATATTAAAAATAATTAATAACTAACACGTATATAAAATATAATATGAAAATACAAAAATAAAAATAAATAATATTAGAAGAAGAGCATAGAGTCTATATATAATTATAATTTACAGAAAATTCGGAATTAAAAAAAAGAAATATTAAAAGACGAGTCTAGAGTCCATATAGGAATATATATAATTTACAAATAACTAAAATTTGATATTAAAAATAATTAATAACTAACACGTATATAAAATATAATATGAATATTACACATTAGTTGTTTTGTAAAGTTGTTGCAAAATTTAAAATTATGTTGTCATTTTAATATATTTGAATAATATAATGAGAAAACATATCTGCTATTATATGAGAGAAAATATAATGATGCTAGCCGCACAATCTTCGCGGGCCACCATGCTAGTTTTTATAATAGTTGAGATTTTCGGAAAAAATAACTTACCTATGTTTTTTTTCTTATTTCTTGTCTTCTTTTTTTTTGAAAACTTTTTGTACGTCTCATTTCTAGCTGTCGGCCTAAAATGGCTGACCGCACAACGACACTGTCCTTTCGTTTGGCATTAACACAACGATCTGGTAATTAAGACGAACATACCTGTATATTATCAGTATATGTACGCAGGCTCCAGCCGGTGAAACGTCGGAATCGCGATCGGCGCCCACGCGCATGCATATACGACGTTCGAGTTCCTTGTTCCTTGTAAACACACGATGTACGTTCTTGTTCCTTCCACCTGTCTGCTATTTGTTGGTGAGAATTTTAAAAATAGTTTTATAACTTTTGTCTTTTAATTTATTTACTAGATTAATTCTACAACTATATAGAAATCTTAAAATACAGGTGAGAATTTAGATTGTTTAGGAAACTGTAGAGATTATAAAATAAGCTGTAGCTACTAAAAACTTATGCCTACACAGTACACACAGTGCGTTTCCATTTTGTTCTTTCTTCCAACACTTTGGGAGAGAGCTATACCACGTTGCTCTCTCTTGCTTTGCTTGATTTGCGTATCATAATCTTTTTATAATTCGTGCTGTTTAAAATTTTAATTAGGAGGTGAATTAAAAGCCGTCCTCGTACGTACATAAATTAGCTGGCGAATCTGGCCAGTCTTTAATTCTGCCATATATGTGCATGTGTGTGTACATGTATGGAAGGATAGTATTCTCTCCTTAATTTCTTGAATTGCTATCCGATCCTGAGCAATATATGTCCCTAGCTAGCTAGCTGGGCGTCCGCCATAATTTGCTGCCAATAATAATTAGCCCCATATATCCTTGTAGCTAGGTGAATCATCCCCTTGATATGCCTTGTTAAATATGTAGCTCCGATTTAAGCTCTCTTGCCCATTTTTTTTTCAGAGTTTATAGTTTCATTTTGATTCTTCCGCTCTCTGCTAGCTTCCACACACCAAGTTCATCAGCCAATTTCTTCCTGACGAGAAGGCCGTGTAAGAATTTTAGTGAAGTGAGTGTCTTTTTTGTTTTTCGATTGGTCGATCGAGTGCTGGTACAAGCTAGAGGATGGCGATGATGGAGAGGATTGGGGTCACCAAGCTTCATCATCATCTTCTTCTTCTTGTTCTTCTTCTCGTCGTCGCCGCCGCCGGCGGCGGCAGCGTACAGGCGGCGGAGGAGGATGAGATGAGCGGCCGGAGGAGGAGAAGCAGGCGGCGGCGTGCGGCGGACGTGATGGTGCCCATCACCATCCTCAACTCCGCCGTCGACAAGGGAGCCGGTATGTAATTAATGTACTAAGATTTACAGTAATTGGATGCGTTCTTCTGGGTACGTAGAATATACCTGCCATTCAGTTAATTTGCTAGTATCAATTTCTGGCGAAAGTAGACAATTTTTTTAGTTTTTACCATTTTTGGTCGAATTTTGAACAATTATCTATCATTCGTTCCTAGGATTAAATGTGAGTGTGTTCTAAACAGGGAATATTTGCATCAGAATAGTCTGAAATACTACAAAATTACCATGTTCCTAATAAGAGTTTAGGTTATAAGACCATGCGGGGGGATGGAAGCAGATTCAATTTTTTCAAGCTCGACCAGAGCCAAAGCCATAACTACCAACTACCATGACAGTAGTGTACTACCATACGCCTGCTTATTTATTTATTTTTTGCAGTGGAAGATATTACATTTCTAGTTCCCACATAACCAAATATTCAAAATAAAGCTAAACATAATAGTAGCATAGTAATAAGGATGGGACAAACCTCCAACCTCACGCCTACCAAAACGCTAAAGAGCACAAAATCAAATACTCCCTCCAGGTTAAAGTTAATTATTATTTTAAACAGTACTAATGTTGAACTTTTAAAACTTTGATTATAAATAACTTTTAAAACATGTACTTTAATTTCGAAACATGGAACAATATGTACAAATTAATCTAAACTACAGTACTTCAATATAGAATCATATATTTGCTGATAATTCTACTTCTACATATATTTTTTCAAGGAATTCTATATATATTATAGTATAAACCAATGGTGAAAATTGTGTGTTCTTGTTTAAAATGACAATTATATTCGACTTAAAAGGAGTAATAGTTTAATGCTAGCATAACCTTCTATTAGTGTGCCAGCTCAAGGACAATAATTCTATGTTCTTTTAAGCTTTTTCACTGGGTAAAAATATACATGGAAATGAATACAACTATTGGTGACGGTAAAAAAAAAAGGAACTAGACATTCCAAGGAGCATATATAAAGTTTGGGTTTATCGCTTTATGTAGGTAGTATGTACTACACTATCGACAGTCCCAAATTTAAGTATCGGTTATGTCAGATTTACAGATAAAAGTTAACTTGTTTTTGGGATGGAGGAGATATACTTCTTCGATGGAATATGCAAACTTATTTGCTTCTTGATGGATAGGGCACCGTGCACAAGTGGCTAAGCGTGCCGTTCGTTCCCACACCATGCGTGCATATGTGTACCACTAGCTAGCAAAGCAAAGCAAGCTAAGCTAGATGCCATGCATGCATGATGCATGTATATGTCCTTATAGCTTATCCCATCTATCCTTCTTGTCATTCTCGGTTCCTTTCACGCTTCTTTTTGCATGGAGGATAGAGGCCACACCGACAGAATGCATCATTACCAATATTCACGCTTCTTTACTTGTTCATCCATTATATATATTCTTTCTTTTTCTCTTCTCAAGGTGTCTACCTTATATGTGCGCACCATCGGATGATCAGTTGTAGTATATTCTTCTTAATTAATTCCATTCTATATTCAAACAATTTTCTACATCTAATATATATAATCCATATCATTCATCACTCCTACACCAAATCCAGGGTTTTCAATTTCATTTTGGAAGTTTCTACCAGGGCCGCCAAAATTTCTGAATGTAAGGAATTTCGGAAAATTCAGAACAAAATTATTTGGAATTTAAACATATTTTGACCGAATTTGAATATAGTTGAGTCAGGGGAGAGGGTTTCTGAAATTTCAAACCGTGACCGAATCCATATATGGTAAAAGAAATCATATAAGATATGATATAACCATTATCAATATGTGAAATTAGAAACATTGCTTATGAATAGTCTTTTAGAAATAACTAAATTATATATAGTGTCACCTATCCTTCCGCGAAAATAACTTTGTAAATCCAAACCCCCAAAATGTAGTTGTTATATCAAATTAACCTGAGTTAGTATCTTTGTAGAGTGACATATGACAAATTCACCATCCAACGACCTGGGAGGCTGCCAAGGCTTGTCAACAAACAGGCGTGCCTCCACCCCTTTGTCCTTAATCGCTGCGCATTCCATCACACGTATGCTCATTTAGATGGGTTTCAAAAACCATTAAAAATAATTTTTACAAAACAAAGTAGAAATATTCGTGCGTATAAACATTATATGTATAAACATTATACGTACACATTAACTATGTGCATGAATATTTAATACAACAAATTATGTATAAAAAGTTTGAATCCAAATCCTCAAATTCGAAATGAGCATAAAAAATTTCAGTGTACAATCTTTTTTGTTGTATAAATTTTCAATGTATAAACTTTGTGCGTATAAAATGAAAATTATACGTGTCAACAAAAGACAACCCGACCCGATTGCGCGTGGCCGATTGCTAATGAGCCTTTTCGTTGTTAGCGAACGCACAGTTAATGGAATTTGAATATTATTATTTTAGGGATTAACAACTAAATTCTTCTAATATATTGATATGCAATTATTTTACGTGTTCGAAAAAAAACTAATTTCTCTACTACTCCCTCTATTTTAAGTTATAAGATGTTTTGACTTTGGTCAAAGTCAAACTGTATCAAGTTTGACCAAGTTTATAAAAAAAATAGTAATATTTTTTAACCAAGATAAATTTATTATAAAAATATATTTAATTATAATTTAATAAAACTAATTTAGTAATATAAATATTAATATATTTGTCTATGAACTTAATCAAATTTAAAGCAGTTTAACTTTGACCAAAATCAAAACATCTTATAACATGAAACGGAGGAGGGAGTAGCAAATACTCAACATAGCCACTGGAATGATAGAAGCCATGATCTGTGTTACTGTTAATTTTCAACAACAACTCATGAATTTTCCTCTCATGCATGCTCGGTATTGCAGTGTGCATGGACGGGACGCCGCCGGCGTACCACCTGGACCCGGGCTCCGGCGGCGGCAACCGGAGCTGGGTGGTCAACCTGGAGGGCGGCGGGTGGTGCAACAACGCCCGCACGTGCCGCTTCCGCACCGCCAGCCGCCACGGCTCCTCCGACCACATGGAGCGCCGCATCGCCTTCACCGGCATCATGAGCTCCGCCGCCGCCGACAACCCCGGTCCGTCCATCTCCTCTCCTCCGCCGCCGTCTCGAACTCTCGATCAATCAGTGTATGCATATGCTAACCAAACCAAATGGCAACGTACAGATTTCCACAGCTGGAACCGCGTCAAGATCCGCTACTGCGACAGCGGGTCCTTCGCCGGCGACGCCTTCAACGAGGTGATCAATCAAACCCATCCAGCTAGCAGCTGATCCGATCATTCCTGATTAGCTAAGAATCAATGGACTTGTGTATAGGGATTGAAGCTGCAATTCCGGGGGCAGCGCATCTGGGGGGCGGTGATCCAGCACCTGCTCGACGTCGGCATGGCCTCCGCCGAGCATGTGCTGCTCACCGGCTGCTCCGCCGGCGGCCTCGCCGCGATCCTCCACTGCGACCAGCTCCGCGCCCTCCTCCCCGCCGCCGCCACCGTCAAGTGCCTCTCCGACGGCGGCCTCTTCCTCGACGCGTACGTACTTGTGTTCTGTCCACTGACGCGATTATTTTTCTCCAAGCTAGCTAAGCCCATTATTCAATTCTTATCGCTTCGCGCGTTGCAGCGTGGACGTCGCCGGCGGCAGGAGCCTGAGGTCATACTACGGCGACGTCGTCGGCCTGCAGGCGGTGGCGCCCAACCTTCCCGAGACCTGCACCGACCATCTCGACGCCACCTCGGTGCGTATACTGCACACTGTATTCATGCATATGCAATTAATTATGTGTTCATGCTGATCAATTCAGAGATGACTAATTAGATTTAGATCGATGCAAGAAGAGCATTACATAATTATGATGCGACTGTGTGTGTGAATGTGCAGTGCTTCTTCCCTCAGAACATAATCGACGGCATAAAGACACCCATCTTCCTGCTGAATGCGGCGTACGACGTCTGGCAGGTATGCACAAGTCTTTGCTGCTGATTCCCCATGGTTGATATTGCAAATTAAATTAGTAAAATCTCGTTCTAGCAAATGCATATGCTCAGATCTAATCTATTGAGAAATGAAGAACATATAACCGAATGCAAATATGTGACCGGACGATTCGTTCATCAGATCGAGCAGAGCCTGGCCCCTAACGCAGCTGACACCAGCGGCACCTGGCGAGTCTGCAAGTTCAACCGCGCAGCCTGCAACGCGTCTCAGCTGCAGTTCCTGCAAGGTAACAACGGCCATATCCCTTGTCTGAGTTGTCTCGTTGATCATATACTACGTCAATAATTAGTTTGTCAGACAGTAAGGTGATCGAAGCCCTGAATTTCAGAACCCAATAATCCCTGCATTTTTATGTAATGCAGGTTTCAGAGATCAGATGGTGGCAGCGGTGAGAGTCTTCTCCGAGTCGAGGAGCAACGGGCTGTTCATCAACTCGTGCTTCGCTCACTGCCAGTCCGAGCTGACGGCCACCTGGAATGGTGGCTCTCCTGCTCTCCAGAACAAGGTACTTTCCACCTTGCTTAATTAGTGTGTGTCCATGTAATTGTTCAGAGCTACAAGAGAAAACTGCAGACGTTTTCAGTACTTGCAGACGAAGAACCTGAATGGGATTATGCATAAAAAAATACTTACTTTTCAGTTTCATGCTGTTCTTGGATGTGCAGGGAATTGCAAAGTCTGTTGGTGACTGGTACTTTGGTCGAGCTGAGGTGAAGGCCATCGATTGCCCCTACCCCTGTGACAAAACATGCCACAACATCATATGACATCATGTACTGACGTTTACTCGTCTCGACCGAATGGAGTGACACACATTTTTGCCTCGAAGTCCTCTCAAGTTCTTCACTCTAGCTAGTAGCTATATACATGTAGAACTATCGAGTTCAGAGCCAAAACATACAAAACAGAGAACCTCACACAAACAGATACAAAGGAAGCAAAACAAAGTTAACAAAAGCAAATAGGAAGGGGGAGAGGGGCAGGGCACATTAATATCGGGAAGCAGTGTGGTGGAGTCATGGGTGTATAATTTCACCTATTAAGAATAAATTACAGTATTCACAAACATAGTATGGGATTAGAAAGGAGAGCTAATACGTTAGCTCCATCTCTTTAAGCATGTGTTAGGGCATTCGTGGAAGTGTGTCTGATGTCGCGTGTACAGTGGTCTGCGGTGTAATCGCCAAAAACAAAAAAAAGGTAGTATGTTTGACATAGATCTCTTAGACATCAAATATATTTGGGTGAACGGAGTAGTATCGAACAAGAATGCCATTGCTCGACAGAACTGCCAATCTGCCATGCCGCCACAGTCCATGGTGCGTGGTGACAACCCAACGGGCCGAGGCCCACGGAGGCACCTGCCAAACTCTGGGTTACAGGCCGAGCTGTCAAGAATTTTTTTTATTTATACATTTTTTTATTAAAATATTTACAAAAATAATTTGTTGTTTCGAAAATTTACAAATCTAATCGCCTGCCGCCCTTTGGGAGGGCGATTTTTAAAAATCGCCCTTCCACAGGGCGGCAAGGGACCTAAATGTAAATTTTCCAGCATAACTTGCTAGCTCTATAATTTTACAATTTAAAATTATATTATATAAAGTCAGATGAAATAAAACTTTATATCAAAATTGTAGAGCTCAAGGAGATCTACAACTTTGTAGTTAATAACTTTTTCATTTAAGATGTTTTAGATATCCAAATATTCGTTACAAAATATAAAACACATTTTAAAAAATCTCAGATCTACATTTCAAACGACATTGGATGGAGATAAACTTTATATAAAGTTGTAGATCTTGATGAGATCTATAACTTTGTAGTTTATCACTTTTCCATTTAAAATCATTTGGAGTATCGAATAAGCATTATTAGTTTTTAAGCAATTAAAACCGGTGGGAAGGGTTTGAACACAAATAAAAATTTTGTATTTAGGTCCCTTGCCGCCCTTTGAGAGGGCGATTTTTAAATATCGCCCTTCTTAAGGGCGGCAGGCAATTAGATTTGTAAATTTTCGAAACAAAAAATTATTTTTGTAAATATTTTAATAAAAAAATGTATAAATAAAAAAAATTCGAGCTGTCAACACATAAGTTGCGATCACGGAGCTAAAAAAATTGTTACGATCACGCAGCTAAAACAAATGTTCACAATAACTGATCAAAGATTGCAGCTGAATAAATGTGCACTATAATCGTTGTGATTGGAATAGCAGTTAACTCCCTAAAATTAAAATGGCAGCTGAACAAAATGTGCACAATAACCATCTTTACAATAACATATCAAGTGTTTTGAACTTGAACCCACGGCATAATTTAACAAGCTTAGCTATTTAGAAAAACGCATCACGTTAATTACCAGACTTGACCAGCTGTTATTAAAAGGGTTTATTAACATATAAAGACAAGCGATCGACAAGTAGATCGAGATCGAGCTGCAGCTGCTGTTCTGATCGAACCAATAAAATATATACGTGTGGCATTCTTTACCATCGTTGTAGGAGTATAGTATACGCTAATCTAGAATTATAGAATCTCACCATGTTCTAGGAGAGAGAAGGCTTTGACAATCGGGTGCAAACAGCGTGATAGCTTCGCTATGAATAAATATTGACTAGGAGATATATAGCGTGAGATTAACTATAATCAAGTCTTCCAAAAACAGAAGGGAAACTTTTCTGAGTGAGATCGAGATCCGTGGTGTATAACGAATTGAGTCAATCATTATCTGCTTACCAGTCTAACACCATTAGCTCAGGATTTCACATGCATTGTTTGTACCCTTCTTGATTGGACCGGCCCGGTACTATTCAGTGTAAGTGCATGCAGGGATGGGAGGTAGAGGTTGTGCTTGTGATGAGTCGTATATGCTCTCGGATCCATGCACGCGAATAGATCAATGTTCATATGCAAATACAAACTGTATTTTGAATTTACAGAATTAGAAACAAATTAAAGTACCATTGCGCACCAAGAACCTAGCGATCGACGAAGCGGTGGATCCAGAAATTTTAGACGAACCAAAGAAGCTAATTCTTGTGCGGTGATATGTTGGAATCAAGGTTTACAAAACCGAAGGAATTTTACGAAAACCAATCGGATTTTGTGAAACCGCTAGATCTCGGGTTATAAAAACTGGTCGATATTAGCTGGTTTTCATACGGCGTTGACCGAAAGTCACTGGTTTTTATTGGTTTTCGGTCGGATTTCGGTAAAACAGTAAGGATCAGCTTTTACTTTGAAATACAAAAGTTAAACCCTGGTCGAAATGGCTAGGCGACTGCTTGGGGGTGGCGTGGCGGGTGGCCTTGGATGATCCACTCCTGCTCGTCAGGTTAATTATATCCGGTGGGGTAATAGTTGTAGCGGCGCCAAGTAGAGTGGTTGTCGCCGTGAGGCGTGAGTGAGGTGGCTAAGTCCCTAGGACTCAGGATGGGAATGGTTAGGGTCGATCCATTTATCCGCTAAATCAATCCGTAAATTTGTGCTAACGGATTTGTAGGGTTGCTCCAAAAATATAAATGGATCAAACGGATCAAACCATTAGAACCTAAGGTTCAAGGGGTTCGACCCAAAATGACTTCACATGTATAAATGTTTCAAAAAATTGTATAAAGTTGCTTCGCTATATAATAATTATTTCCTACAAAATTCAACTAATTTTAACAAGCTTTCAAAGTGTGAACGCGAGTTTAAAAATTTTGGGTCCGAGTTTTACATGGAACTGGAATTTCTGGGTCTTAGCAACGCATCGTGGGCCCCACATGTATAAAGGGCTCAAAATTTACACAAAGTTGCTTCTCTGCGCAATAAATTATCCCACCAAAATTCGACTAAATTCGATAAGTTTTTATAGTGTGAACGCGAGTTTAAAAATTTTGGGTCCGAGTTTTACACATATAACTAGAATTTTTGGTCCTAGTAATGCATCGTGGGCCCCACTTGTATAAAGGGCTCAAATTTATACAAAGTTGTTTCTCTGTGTAATAAATTATCCCACCAAAATTCAACTGAATTCGATAAGTTTTTATAGTGTGAATGCGAGTTTAAAAATTTTGGGTCCGAGTTTTACCCACATGTAATAAGAGTAGCCGATCCATTTAGATATCTATGGATAATCTATTGATATAATGGACTCATGGTGGATCGACCCTATTAAACCATAGATCAACGAACTCACTTAAAACGGTTTAGATTCAATCCATATCCCAACCATTCCCATCCTGACCTAGGACAGTGAGAGGGAGGCCCGGCGAAACGCCGGTCATGTTACAGGCCGAGCTGGCAACAAATATGATGAACTTCCTTCCTTATACCGTGACTAATAATCACTTATTAACTCACCAGGATGGCAGTTCGCCGTCGTCCTCCCCATTAAATATGCAGGCTCGATGAGAGAAATGAATCACACGTACGTACGCACGGTGGACTCTTGGCGCGATCTGATTCTGATCTGATGGGGTCACCGTACATGCTGAAGAAACTGGTAAGCCAAAACTCTCCCATTAAAACCCTCTTAGATCCATGGCCACTGCCTCGTCGATCAACGTCGCCGGCTGACGTACTGCGCAGTAACACATCCCTGATCCATTCCCCTCCATCCGCTAGCTGCGTATGCAGGATTGCTTACCCTATTGCAGGTCGGACAATCCATGCGGCGTGGTCGGCGCATGCCCGTACATTTCAGCAGCAGCCGCCGGCGCCGGCGCCCTCGCCGCCCACCCTCTCCCGTTCGGCCACATGGTACGTAATACACTATACGGTACAGTATTACCGTACACACTTATTTACCATGTACGCCGGTAATACTGTGCACAGGCCTGTCCCGCCGCCTGCCACTCGGAGAGAACATGCGCGGGCACTAATTGGTGGCCACGGCGACGCCGGATCCTCCACGGGAAGTGGCTGAAGCACATCTTGTGCTCCGCCGGCGGTCGCAGCAAGGCCGAGCGCCGACGACATGTCTGCAGCACTTCGCCGGACGCACACAGAGGATGCTACTTCAGCCCCTCCCCGTCGACGGGGTGGGCATCGGCGCATGGCGGCGGCGGCGGCGGCAGCTGGTACGCCTCCGGCTCCGGCGTGGGCAGAATGGTGCAGGTGCCGGCCATCGATGCTGCCCCCGTTTGTATCGCCGCAGGCGGCATATCTTTTGATGGGATGATCTGCGTCAGCAAAACCAACTTCACCAGCATGGTTGTGATGTCCGGTTTCGGTGTCCTCTTCCTGGCTTATCTGGTGTTCAATTTGTTCCTCAGTTTGAATTAACTACACCTACGGTTATTGGTAAATCAGAGGGCTCTGAGATGCCGAATTAAATGTTAGCACCAGATCCACGAAATTTCAGTAATGTCACCTATAAGAGCATCAAGATTAATAAAGAAGTACTGCTCCACACTATATTTTCGTTGATCCATATATGTGTCTATGTTGCTAACACTAGTGCAGAAACGATTATCCCGGCCAACTCATCACTGCCGATTTGGCGTGAGCGAGTAGGGATTGCCAATCCCAACCGGTTCATAGTGCTGGAGGGAATTTTCCCACCCAAGCAGTCAAGAACCAGTAGTGACGCTCAATATTTCTGTCGGTCCAAGAACTGAACTGACCGCACAAGGAGACCAAGACTTACTTTGGAAGAGCTGCGGCAAACCTATACTCGAACTCTGACTAGACTTGATCGAAGACTACCAAGGTATTAATATATGAACGAGTCCCCCCAATTACGATTTACGAGGGGACCTAGGGATACCAATCTATAGGCCCCAAGAGAGAAGGAAAAACATTTCAACAGAATACTGAATAATCCACAATAGAGCCAAGCGAATCCAAGACAATCCTCAAGATTTCGACTGAGCCTCGATGAGATAAAACTCTCAATCCATCTAGAGAGCCCGAAATTCTCGACTCCCAGCTAGCCGACCACCATCTCGTCCGGATCCCTAACAAGGCTAGTCGATAGGTCTTGGATCGATACATACCATATTGTACTCCTACTCTTCATATGTCAGTAAAGCAACATGCCAGACTTAGAGTTATTTCTCTAAATAGGGCTCGAACCTATATAAAAATGCTCCTGCGTTTGATTGGCATCTTCATCAGGAGAGGCGACACGTAGACAACACTCAGATATATAAGGCTCTTAATTTTTATCGACGACACATTGTAACTACCCTATAAATTTCAAAACTTACAACCTAAATTGTAATAACAACATTCTAATTTTTCTAATACACACTATATAAGAGAACAAAGATTTAAAGTAACTGATTACCTATTTGGAAGATGAGATAGGAGAGATAAAAGCATACTTTTATATATACTAGATGACGCGCCGCATTTTGCTGCGGAATATATGGATGAATAATGTTAAATGTTGTAGAAATGATGGATGAATATGGGTTACATTATTGTGTAAATGATGAGGATGTTGATTTAGCACGCTAGTACGTTGATTTTTGGAATATAATAAATTTTAAATACAATTACTAAGAAAAATATGTAGCGTAAATCTGAAAACTACTGTAGGATCTAAAAATGCGCATATGAGATTTATTCAAGTCACGCTGAGTTATTTTACTCCTTGATTTAATTATGAGTAAAAATTTTACCAAGTTGACATGGACAAATCTCATACGTTTTATTTGTATGTTATAGTTTTCAGATTTGCACTACATATAGGATTTACACTTTGCACTACATATTTTGTTCTAATTACTATGCTTGCGCGTTGAGTTTTAAATTCTTAGCGTGGGTCATGCTTGTATATTAAACTTTATGAGTACTAATATGTTTGCGTGTAAAGTTTTAGAGCTTAGGAGATTGTAACTATGTATAGAAGGTATAGATAAGAGAGATAGCAATTACATTGGAAAAGGCAATTGAAATCATGCCGGAAAGCCTCCCCGTCCGGTGCCCGATGGGGAGAAAAAATAATTGGGCGCCCCATGCCACCCACGCCTCGCACGGCCCCTCCACGCGCCCCCACCACGTGTGCCCGTTGCAATAGCCGCCCGAATATAATGGGAACGCCCTATTAAGGGGGGTATGTTTCATTTTTTGTTCCACCAACAATGTTTCAACTAGTGTACTCATGATGTTTCTTTATGTATGGATCAAATGTTGCAATGGATTTTTGATACTGTTTAATAATTTCATCTTGATGGACACGTGATTTGTTGATGTACACGAGTTTTAAGTGTTACAATGACTTTAAATCGTTTGTTTGCATACGTTGAACCATTTTTTTTTCATCTGGCGAGCTAACCGTGTTTACTTTTTTTTAAGAATTAAAACATTCTTTCGCTATTTGCTAAAACATTGTTTTAATATAGGGTGAAACAATGCCCGATTTTTTGGAAACCATTGTTTCATACGTTGTAGCAAAATGTTTCATGAGGTGATTTGTTTGTGTTTCAGCTTTTTAAAAGATTGAAACATTTTTTATCTATTTAGTGAAATATTTTCGATCTACCTGGTGAAATAGCACCCAATTTTTGAAAAAAAAAGTCGGGCATCCGATTTTTGACAAAAAAAAAATCGGCCGCTCGATTTGTAGGCGCCTCCAAATCATGCCGGTGCCATATTTATAGGCAAGCTGATTCCTAATTATGTATGGGTGAGTCAAGAAAAAAAAATAGCAACTGTGAGAATTAACAAAGTAGATATGTAAATTACATATGGATGTAGCTAGAGAGATTAATTGATAGAACGATATTGATCAGTTTGCATATATCGATGGATTTAATGATCATTTAAAGAGATGGAAAAACGTCTGCAATATGGTGACGATGGTGTTGAACAAGGTGATGACGGCGAATGTGGTGGCCAAGCAGAAACCGAAAATCGCCCACGGGCTGTTGAGGTAGTCCCGGCGGAATTTGGCCTTGTATTTTGGCCACTTGCGGCGGCAGAAGGCGTCAACGTCGCGGTACACCGGCGCCAGGTAGTGGTCGTCGTAGTTGATGTAGGAGCTGAGGCGGAGCTGGTTGAAGAACTTGGCGGCCTCCTCCTCGTTGGCCAGCTTGTTCTCCATCACGTCCGCCCTGTCCAGGATCACCACGTCCTCCGCCGTGTTGATCAGGTAGTCCATGAGCACCACGTAGCTGGTCAGGTGCTTCTCCGCCACCGCCGCCTCGCCGCGGCACTGCTCGAAGGCGACGAGGTTCATGTACCTGATGCAGGTGGAGTCCTCGATGGCGACGCGAGGGATCTGGAAGACGCCGGTGTCCCTGCAGAACGTGACGTCGAGGACGTTGGTCGTCTCCGGCTTGCGCACGAACTTCACCCCGTGCATGGTCAGCTCCTTGGCGCAGCGGATCGTCCTTGGCAGCTTGCCGCCGCAGTCAGCCTGCACCGGCGCCGGCAGGTGATCGGGTGGCGGCATCACGAAGGTGGAGTGGTACAGGTGGAGCAGGTGATCGATGGCGTCCTCGGTGGCCGTCGTCGTCGCGGGCTGTCTCCCTTCCTTCTCGCTGAAGTAGGAGGTGATGATGGTCGTCAGCGACGGCTTGGGGCGCGCCGACGGCGGGCGGTTGGGGTCGTGAGAGTAGGCGTCGTAGAGCGCGAGGAGGACGAAGTAGGGGATCTGGTTCTCGAGCATGAGCAGGTCGGTGTGCAGCAGCGGGAGGTTCCAGCCGACGTCGAACACGGGATCCGTGGCGCCGCAGAACCACTGGATGAAGAGCTGGACCACGAAGCAGCCGTCGAGGAGGAGCATCTCGACGAACATGTCGTCGTCGTCTTCTCCGTCACCGGTGGCCGGGCTCTCGAAGTAGCACGCGCGCGCTCGCGCCTCGAGCTTGCGCACCCTGCCGACGCAGTCCTGCAGCAGGCCGTCGCGGCGGCCGCTGCCGTCGTCGTCGTCGTGCTGGTCGTGGAGGAACCGGAGGAGGTAGAGGCGCTTCCGGTCCTCCATGGCGCGGAGGTGGTGCTTGCTCCGGTGGTACGGGCCGATGGAGACCAGCCTCGGCTCGTAGTGCTTGTTGTCCACGCTGTCGCGGACGCTAGCCGGGACACGGTAGATGGAGTAGCCGTCCAGCCTCGCCGGCCGGCTCAGCTGCTCCAGCATCTTCTCGATGTTCACACGCACCGTGTCCGTCTTCGTCGTCGTCGTCGTCGTCAATCTCCTCTGATCAGATCACCGTACCACAATGAACAGGATGACACCAATTAGTACAACCATATCAATCGTTCGCATCAATCCATCTGATAGCAACATTAATCAAAACGATCCAGGGGGGGCAAAATTAATGATCAAGGAGGAATTAAACAACTAGCTTATTGCAAGAATTTTACCATTGTTAATTTTCCACTGGTCGATCCACCGGCCGGCCGGTACGTACTGTCACTATCTCTCAGCTACTGCGTATTCACCAGATCGAGTGAGGACACCAAAGAAAGCAGATGGCAACATTAGCAAGCTAGCAACTAGATATAGCCGATCTTCTGCACAGCTCGCAACTCCCGCGGTGTAAGTAGCAGCTTGCAAGTTAAAAGATCACACTGCTCGATCTTCCGCATACGTACTGAACAGATGATTATTTTACGGATTGTGTATTCATCTTGTTCATTTATATAGGGAGTATCTTAATTAAGAGTAACGCTGACCATTAAATTTCTCCCAAACTATACATTTAGATTTTTGAATCGCTATAAATTTAAAATGGATATTATATAAATGTACTTGGAAGAACAAATAGTATGGCATATTACTGTTTTGTACTACTACTTTGTAGTTGTTGTTTTGGGATCACAAATTATTGATTGGTAGAATGGTAGTTGTCTGTATCCTGAATATGGGATATCTCATGCTTGTGTATTAGACTCAGTGAGATCCACAATATACTAAGATTTATACGGAATAAAACCACATATGGGAAGTGTTCTGAATAAACAAAGTGAGATAGAGTACTAGCTACTAAGACACTACAAGATCAACTCAGATCGTATCCATACCTATTTCCTTAGTTCTATTTGGACAAATAAATACTCGAGGGAATAAATACAATACCTCCAGGAGGAGAGAGGACAACCCAAAGATAGACCACATATACCAACATAAGTGAAGACAAGCCTAGACAAGTCTAATACGGAGTCATAAATACTGACAAGAGGGAACTATAGCTACCTCCAATATCGTCGAATTCTTATTTGAGGAAGTGGACTATCACTAGCCATTGACCATATATGAGAGCTTTACGCCGTTAGTTAGGCTGATAGAGCCTATATTATGTTATCCTCAATATTGTACTCGTGAGATATTGATATATAATGACAACACCGGCTTCAGCCAATAGTAGTAGGACTACCCGTAAGCAAAGGGGCCAAACCTGTATAAAAATTCTTGTATCCCTTCTTTTTTTATTATAATATCACGTATAACTTAGTACCAGCTAGCGATCCCTATACCTATAAATATGTTGCCAGGTACAACTCTTTGATATGAGTATATTCAAAAAGAGGTTCTTAAAACTACATACTAGCTAGCATGATCTGTTTGTCTGATACCACAATATACAAATGCTTGTACAAAAAGTGGAATATCTTATGCATATTTTTTTTCTCTCTCTTTTGCCATGCCATTAACTAACCGTACATAATATAGATCAACTTTACCACCTCTATATATCCATATGGCTTACGAAATAAATACTAATTAACGAATCCAGGCTGATAATTAAACTTATAATGCCACTACTACGAAATTAGGAATGCAGTGATCCAAATGAGTTTTCATAGGTGGGTAAATGGACAATGTTTGCAGGCTGTTCCACACCCACCTCTGAAAAATGATTTTCTCACTCGGTAGGCTAGGAGGTCCTCCTCTGAAAACCTTCTTTGGGCACAAAACCAATTGGAAATCACAAAAAAAAGACCAGCCGTCATCGCCCCTATTTTCACCATGAGCTCCTTGCCAGACCTGCTCTCTGCCCTGAGACATCATCGCCACTGTCATATAAGCTAGCACCCGAGCAACCATCCAATCCTAGATCTAGAGCTATAGGACAGCCCCTTCCACCGCTGTCACATAATCTGGTGTCCCTTGCTCTACCGTCACGAGAAGTGGATGCCCCCTCACGGTTGCGGTCATGGATTTGGAGGAGCTCGTGAGCCGCTACCCCACCGGATCGGCCTCCTCCACGTAGCTGCCTTCATTCGCACGGGGCACTGTCGTTGCCACCTTTCTCTTGGAGCTCCCGAGCACCACCGTTGTCAGATTTGTTTCCTTCATCGCCACTACGTCCGCCTTCTTTCCCTTCTCCTGGAGTTCTTGGATCATGATCTAGTGCACCTGTGGATGCCTTCGGAGAGGAATGACGGTGCTGTTGACGATTGGGGAGAAGGAGAAGGTGGAGGCAGAGGGGAAATGGGAGTGGAGGTGAGGGAGAAGGAGAGGATGAGGAGAGGGTGCAGGAGATCGAGGAGACGGGAGTAAAGGCCTAAGAGGGCACATGGGTGAGTGGGTTGGGTCATGGGGTCTTTTTCTTATTAGGCAAATGCTTTTTACCCGCCTATGAAAATTGTTTTTTACAAGCGGTCCTTCTAAGGTGTCGTCTGTAAATATAATTTTATTTTCATAGATGGTCCTGATCATGTTTAAAAATTGATTTTTACATACGGTGAATGATCCAACTTTCTGTTGGTGTAATTTTTTAGGCGGGTTTTATTTTATTCTGTCTGTACTAAAGAATGAGAGGTGGATGTGAAACATGGTTTTTTATAGTGCACCTAACTCACTATGTTTGGGAAAGGCTCTACCAGCTGTAGTTTCTCCCAGAATCAGAAACTTTCCCAAGCAGTCTAGCTTTCTTTTAGATTCTGAGAAAATATAGTTGTACAATGTATAAAATGAACTAATGGTCCGTTTGGTACAGCTCTAGCTCCTTCACCTCTCCTAGAGCTAGAGCCCAACCAAACGGTTTTAGCTAAATCAAAAGGAGTGGAGCTGGCTAGAGTGTCCTCACAAAATGAACTAGACAGGTGGAGTTGGGTTTAGACAGTTCCATAACTACTGAAGTTAAATTTAGAAGTTGGAGTCCTATCAAATGAGACTAAAAGTTAAATCTAGTTTTTATAGATTCTTAGAATCTGACTACCACCATGCTACTTCTAAGAAATGTTAAACTTTCCAAACATGGTCTAGTTTGTCTATTTTGGTTTTTATTGAACTAGCATGATGGCCCGCGCAGATTGCGCGGCTAGCATCTTTACATTTTTCTCTCGTAATAACATATACTAATATAGTAATATTTACAATGCTAAATTATGTTCATCAAATCAATAATTGAACATATTTTTATAATAAATTTGTCTTGGGTTAAAAATGTTACTAATTTTTTCTACAAACTTGGTCAAACTTAAAGCAGTTTGAGTTTGACCAAAATCAAAACGTCTTATAACCTGAAACAGAGAGAATATATTTTTATATTTTATTATTAAAATAGCCACATAATTTTAAATTATATATTAACTTGACCAAACTAACTAATGTATAATATTCATATTGTATCGTATATACAGGATAGTTATTAATTTTTTTAAATTATAAATTTTAGTTATTTCTAAATTGTATTCTTATATGACTGTAGGCTTCTCTTCTAATATTCTTTATTCTTTAATTTCTAATTTCCGTCATGTATAAATTTTATTCATATGTAGACTCTGAACCCATATTTTAATATTTCTTATTTAAAAATTCCGAATTTCAATTATTTTTAAATTGTACTCATGAATATATGTAATCTAGACTCCTATTCTAATATTCCTTATTTTTTAATTTCGAATTTACGTTATTTGTAAATTGTATTTATATATGGGCTGTAACCTCTACCTTTAATTTTCTTTTGTTTTATTTTGAATTTCAATTAGTTCTTAATTGCATACCAATACGGACTCTTGTCTTCTATTTCAATATTTTTTATTTTTTAGTTCCGAATTTCAACTATTTTTAAATTGTATGCTTATATAGATTCTTATTTTTTATTTTTCTGCGATTAATATGAGATGTTTAGGCTGTGAGAGCGAACGTGAAGGCTATTTTGTATTACTTTAATCTCTGCTATTATAAAAATTGTAGATGTTTTTGCCGGTATTTTGGTGGGTCATCCGTGTATGAGTCGGTTTTTAAGTTCGTTTGCTTTTGGAAATACATATCCATATTTGAGTCGGTTTCTAAGATCATTTACTTTTGGTAATATAGAAGGAATTATATAAGAAATATGATAACTTAAGACGATCGGATTCCTAACTACAGCTCATGATTTTCTAAAATTATATATATATCTAAGCGAACTCCCATAGTGAATTTCATCTTAACTAAACCATATAACGATAATAAGATTAAAATAGACTTCACCTGTTGTAACGCACGGGTATTTTTTCTAGTAAGTTAATAAATTCAAAAATATTTGTTTCTATTGTTGATGTTCATTGAGCTTCGCCTACATAAAAAAAAATGATGGACATGCACATGCATACATGGATCTTACCTATCTATTCTTTGCAGCACCAGTACTACTTTTGATATAAAATTTCAGCGAGAAGGTTTTTACACACGCTATATGCTGTTCATATAAGCAATAAGCTAATATATATAGCATACTAAATAGCTATAGTAATTTGTATTGTATATAGATTCCTTCTATGCAATCTTGTATATTTTCTGTACTTGAGGTGTTCTATGCGGACTCCTTGTCCGTTTCCATGCCATGACAGGCATGCGTTTTCTGATTTTTCTTGAATTAACGTGGTAATTTTAAGACTGTGAGAGCGAACGTGGAGGCTTTTTTTTTCTATTCCTTTAATAAGTTAATAGATAGATTGTTCTATACAGGCCTAATTAAGCATGTTCTCAATCTTGTAAAAACAAATCATGCTGCACAATCCACAATCCTACAGGGGAATCCTTGTAGCACATGCACCTATGTGTGTTCCAGTAGTATACAAATTAAGATACCAATTAGATTAGGATACCATATCACTGACCAGCCTTTAATGAAGTAATTAAGAGTTGGATGCGATAGCTAAGCTAGTCACGAATCACAATCAAACATGTACAGCCGAAGGGCTCCTAACTGTGGGTGCACTTAGGGATGAAAAAGGTCGGAAATAATTAGAAAACAGCCTCAACCATTTCCGTATTTTTCTCGGAAACGAAATCGAAAACGGTAAAGTCGGAAACGAAAACGATATCGGAAATATCGGAAAACTGAAAACGGAATAATACGGACGGAAATATGTCGGTATAGATCGGAAACCAGTAGCAAAATACGGAAACATTAAACTATAAAAACATATATTTAACTTTACATAAGTATGTTATATGTATACATAAATTCAAGCTTATACTATATAAATTATAGTCATGCACAAAAGTTAGAGATTTAATTGAAGAGTCAATCAATCTGTAAGCTATGGGTCAAGTAGAGACATGCCCTATAAAATATCGACATATTTAAAATATGGTAATTACCA